ACTCCCATGATGCCGGCCTTCATGGTCTCTGCACCAGGAAAAGTCATCGTTTTTGGAGAGCATGCTGTTGTCCACGGCAAGGTACGTTTGCGCCCAAACCCCTTTTTCCCTGCATCAATTTGGCCCATGTACTGACCCACGTCTGACCAACAGGCCGCAATCGCCGCTGCCATCTCTTTGCGATCATACCTCCTCGTCACCTCCCTCTCCAAGTCGAGGAGAACAGTCTCTCTCCGTTTCCCAGACATCGACCTGCAACATACATGGAATATCGACGACCTGCCATGGGCCACCTTCCAGCACCCCTCAAAGAAGAAGTCTTACTACGACTTGGTGACGGAGCTTGACCCGGACCTGGTTGCAGCCATCCAACCAAACCTCGCAGAAATATCACCACACAAGTCCGATCAAGTACGAAAAGTGCACCAAAACTCGGCCTCGGCGTTCTTGTACATCTTCCTGTCGCTTGGCCATCAGTCTTTCACGGGATGCCTCTACACTCTGCGATCAACGATTCCCATCGGCGCTGGCCTGGGCAGCAGTGCGTCGATCGCCGTCTGTCTGGCAGCGGCTCTTCTCCTGCAGTTGCGCACGTTGTCAGGCCCACACCCAGATCAGCCCCCTGACGAGGCTAGGTTGCAAGTGGAGAGAATCAACCGGTGGGCGTTTGTCTGCGAGATGTGCATACACGGCAACCCTTCAGGCGTAGACAACACTGTTTCAACTCAAGGCAAGGCAGTGGTCTTCCAGAGGACAAATTACAGCAAACCCCCGGCCGTGCGACCTCTCTGGGATTTCCCCGAGCTCCCCCTTCTCCTCGTCGACACGAAGCAGGCAAAGTCGACAGCATTTGAAGTGGCCAAGGTCGGCAAGCTGAAGAAGACGCATCCGGAGCTGGTTGGCAGTATCTTGGACGCCATCGACAAGGTTACCGTTGCGGCAGACAATCTGATTGGAAATGAAACATTCGACAACGAGGAGGAAGAAAGTCTACGAAAGGTGGGAGAGCTAATGACTATCAACCACGGATTGCTGGTCTCGTTGGGGGTGTCCCACCCGCGTCTCGAGCGGATAAGAGAATTGGTGGATCACGAAGGCATTGGATGGACGAAGCTGACTGGCGCTGGCGGCGGCGGTTGCTCCATCACTCTGCTGAAGCCCGATGTGCCCAAGGACAAGCTTAACCGGCTGGAATCTCAGCTGGAAGACGAAGGCTACGAGAAATTCGAGACAACGCTTGGCGGTGACGGTGTTGGCGTGCTCTGGCCCGCAGTCCTCAAGAACGGAATGGACGAAGACAATGACGGAGGCATGGAAATCGACCAAGAGAGCTTCCTGAATGCCGACGGTAACGAGGGTGTCGAGAAGCTGGTGGGTGTCCACGGAGGTGTAGGCGAGCGAGAGGGCTGGAAGTTCTGGCGCGTCGAGAGCCATTGATGAGGGTGCGACAAGCTTCAATCTGCTTCTACACTACCTTTTTTTTTTTCCAAACAGCCGTGCCATGGCGCAAGGCTGAGAAGATTTATTGGCCACATTGGGTTATTTGTCATACGACATGATAATATGAGGAGGAGAAGGGAACGCTTTGGGTGTGGCTTCATATATCTATTTTAATCGGCGCTGAGAGCCTAGAAGTCCACCTTGCGGTGCTAAAATTAATGCTTTGTTGATTGACACTGTTGAATGCGAGATGCATCCTCAATTGCAAGTGTCTTAGACCCTGGCGGCACTTTTTCCAACTGGAATATGTCTTGGGAGAAACCCGGTGTCGAAAAAATCCAGGGGCGTCTTCCCGTGGTGGGGTATTGGCCGTTGGAGTGCATTTTCCACAGCCCAAAGGTAGTCTGATCTCGCCGCCAGCTCAACCCCGCCATAAACCAAGCCAACCGCAGACATGCCCGCCAAATCAAAGGTCAGCTCCAAAGCCAAGGAAGCTGAGAGCAAGAGTACGTTGGCATCGGCCGTGTTCCTGTTTATCGGATCATACAGCTCCTCCCTCTGGACCCTTCTCGTCGCTCACTACCTCTGGCCCCGAGCTTTCCTCCTCCTCCTCCTCCCGCGTGCTGACTTAAGCTCTCCCGACACAGGCAAGCAGACACCATCATCCACCGCCGCCGCAGCCGCAGCCCAAGAACCACCAAAGACGGTCAACGAGCGCTCCCTCCACCGCTTCTACCAGACGAACCCGCACGAGCGAAAGCGAGAGGAGGCCGGCGGACTGCACAGCCTCACCCCCGCGGAGCGACAGGCCTGGGTCAACGCGAGCCTCGTACGCCGCGTAGCGAGCAAGGAGATTTGCCTCAACAACAAGGCGGAGCGCGAGTTCTGGAAGCAGGTGAACCGAGAGAGCCCGCCCATCCGCCGCCTCGACCGGCAAAAGACCACGGAAAAGGGTACCGCCGCCGCCGTCGTCTACGACTGGGGGAAAGACAAGAACGGCCGCGACGTGGGCGAGTACCCCCTCGAGCAGTTCGTCGCGCGCGCCGCCAAGCAGGCCCAGCTTACCGCGCTCGAGGTCTTACACAGGAGATTCCTTCAGCGGAGGGAGTTTGCGAGTGAGGGAGTCACGGACGCCGCCACGGGTAACGTCGAGGAGATTTCGAAAGAGGATATCCAGGAGGAGACGCAGAGGCGGAGAGAGATGTCGGCCATCAGGAAGGAGTTGTACGGCGACAAGATGGGACCGTACGCGACGGACCCGGAGTGGGACGACGTCGTGCCGATTCCTGCTGAGGAGCCCGAGGGCGCGCTGGCTACGATTGCTTATCCGGAGGACTACGCCGAGGGTAAATAATTCACAATTTCTGTCTCTTCACTATTTTGGTGTCTGCAAGCTTGCTAGTTTATGTTGGCGAGAGACTAACACCGTGTGTCCTCCACAGTCATGAGCTACCTCCGCGCCGTCATGGTCTCGGAAGAATACAGCCCGCGAACCCTCCGCCTGACGGAGCACGTCATCTCCATGAACCCGGCGCACTACACCGTCTGGCTATACCGCTTCAGGATCGTCCAGGCGCTCGAGATCCCCCTCGTCGACGAGATTGAGTGGCTCAACGAGGTCTCGCTCGAGCACATCAAGAACTACCAGATCTGGCACCACCGCCAGCTGCTGCTGGATCACTACTACGAGGGTATCAAGGCGACGCCCGACGAAGTGAAGCGCTTCGGCCGGTCCGAGACGGAGTTCTTGACGCGCATGCTCGAGGAGGATACCAAGAACTACCACGTCTGGAGTTATCGGCAGTACCTGGTGCGCAAACTGGGGCTGTGGAATCTGCAGGAGCTGCTATCGACGCAGAACTGGATCGAGGAGGACGTGCGGAACAACTCGGCGTGGTCGCACCGCTTCTTCCTTGTGTTTAGCGACCCGGCGAAGTCTACTGAGGGTTCGCACGCGACGGAGCACGACCCGGAAGTACCTTCCGACGTGGTCGATCGCGAGATTCGGTACGTCGAGGAGAAGACGCTGCTGGCGCCGCAGAACCAGGCGGCGTGGAATTACTTGCGCGGCGTGCTGGTCAAGGGAGGGCGCAAGCTCGAGACGGCCGAGGCGTTTGCGGGGCAGTTTGTCAAGAACGTTGGCGCGGAGGGGGAGGAGGATAAGGAGGAGGTGCGCAGCAGCCACGCTCTGGATTTCTTGGCCGAGGTGTTGGCGGAGAAGGGGCAGAAGGAGGAGGCGGCCAAGTATTTGGACCGGTTGGCGGCCAAGTGGGATCCTGTGAGGGCGGGATACTGGAAGTACCGCAAGCAGCAGCTTGGGGCGTGAGTTCTTCATTGCTATCAACGTTGCTGTTTCTATGAATCGAGACATCCCTTCTTCATCATGCACAAAACTGGTGGCCTAACTGTCGGGCCTCCTTCTATACTGCTGCAAGAGCATTGCTCTCCCAGACCGACTCCATTCTGAATGGCTCTTTTTTCATTCTGTATCCGAGTCAGTAGGCGAATAAAGAATAGGAGACAAGGCAAGACTCACCTCTATTCATGTGTGGTAAAGAAGCAAGCCCAGCCCACACGTCGTGTCGCTCGTCGTCGCTCTCGCTGTCATTCCAAAGTCAAGACCGAAATCCATCCACTACCCCCCTCTTCACAGCGCGCGAAAGTTCTGGCTCATAATCAACCACCGCCTCACGCCCCTCGGCGGATTCTTGCCAAACGTATCCCAATTCGGCACCAGCACAAACACCTCGTTGAACGTCTTGGCCGGCGCGTCCCTCCCTCGCCCATAATGCACCCTGCCCGTGACCTGCGCCATGATGCTGCACTTGGCGCCCTTTTCGTCGCCTTTCTGGAGGTGCTCGGGGCACCCTAGCGAAAAATCGCTGTTGACGACGTGGGCGTCGAGGGATTCGACCTCGTGGTGGACGTCGGCGCCCTGGGTGTCGAGCAGGGCGGCGTACTCGTCGGGGCCGCCGGGGAGGACGGCGCCGTTGATGGAGATGTCGGGCGGGGAAGGGTATTTGGAGCAGGTTGTTGTGTAGAATTTTTCGAGGGAGGCGCCTTGTTTGCGGCGGTTGAGGGCTTCGTAGTAGGCGTCTGCGAAGTTTGAGGCCGCTGGAGGGTGGGGGGGGGGGTGGTTGTGTTAGCTTCTATCGTGAAGCTGCGAAGTGAGTTTGGTGGGGGTTGGGAAGGGAGTTGGACGTACCGTCGGCCGAGGCCCTCATTTCTGTTTCTCGAGAGGGAAGAGACATGTTTGCGGTACTCTACTCGGGTCTTCAATCGTGGTGTGTTGAAGGAGGAAAGTTGATAGTAGTATTGCGTACTCGGCGGTGTTGTCGCAACACAATGGAAGGTTGAAAGGACTCGGGAAGAAGTTTGGCGGGGCAGACAGGGATTGTGCGCCGATAAGAGCTCTTGGCCGTTATCGATATACACAATTCGTACGGTGCACTTGGAGCGAGAGGAACATTGCAAGCTTTCGATTCATCACGCAACTCGCCCATCCCAGCTGTCGACGGCATGCTTCCCAAGCGGTAGGCTCGACGACAACAACAGGTTCAATGAGACCAGCAAGTTTATCCACAGCTTCGGCATTCCGCAGCCGCCGCCATGTCCCGGCGAAGCGATCATCCTGGGTCTGCCCCTCGTGCACCCACGGGCAGACATCGCGACGCCGTTTCGCGAGCTCCGACAGTAAGGGCGACAAGCCATACTACGTGACGACGCCCATCTTTTACGTCAATGCATGTATGTATAATCACCGTGAAGCGCTCTATAATTCGACACAGGCTAAAGGATTGACCCTCTCACAGCACCGCACGTCGGCCACATGTACTCCATGCTCCTAGCAGACGTCCTAAAGCGCTGGCAAGTCCTCAAGGGCCGGACCGCGATCCTCTGCACCGGCACGGACGAGCACGGCTCCAAGGTCCAGCAGGCGGCGGCGAAGCAAGGTGTGCCGGCCAAGGAGTTCTGCGACACGACGGCCGAGAAGTTCCGCAACCTGGCAAAGGCCATCGGCATGACCAACGACCACTTTATCCGCACGACAGACCAGGAGCACAAGGAAGCGGTGCAGCACTTTTGGCACCTGCTCAAGGAGCGCGGGTACATTTACGAATCCAAGCATGAGGGGTGGTACTGCGTCAGCGACGAGTGCTTTTACGGCAACAACGAGATTGAGCGGCGGGTCGAGCCACAGACGGGACGGACCATTATGGCGGCCATCGAGTCCGGGAACGGGGTGGAGTGGATCGAGGAGAAGAATTACCACTTCCGCATGACGGCGCTCAAGGAGAAGCTGCTGGCATTTTACGAGGCGAATCCGGATTGGATCGTGCCGCGGGCAAGGCAGAAGGAGGTGGTGGCGTGGGTGTCGAATAACCTCGAGGACCTGTCCATCTCGCGGCCGGTGCAGAGGCTGGACTGGGGCGTGCGGGTGCCGGACGACCCGACGCAGACGATTTACGTCTGGGTGGACGCGCTCATCAATTACATCACCAAGGCAGGGTTCCCGGGTTGGAGGCCGGGCCGCGAGCACGAGGGCGGATGGCCGGCGGACGTGCAGATCATTGGCAAGGACATTGTGCGGTTCCACGGTGTGTACTGGCCGGCGCTGTTGATGGCGCTGGATTTGCCGCTGCCGAAGCAGCTGCTTAGCCATGCGCACTGGACGTTGGGGAAGAAGAAGATGTCCAAGTCGCTGGGCAACGTGGTGAATCCGTTCTTCGCGGTCGACCGGTGGGGGCTGGATACGATGCGATACTTTATGATGCGCGACGGCGGGATCGAGAAGGATGCGGATTATGAGAACTCGCTGGTCGTCGCGCGGTATCAGAAGGATTTGCAGTCGACGGTAGGGAACCTGATGAACCGGGTGGCCAAGAGCAAGAAGTGGAAGCTTCGGGACTCGGTAGTGTGGGCGGCGGAGAAGAATGGTGGTGCGTCGACGAGTCACAATGTTGAGGGCAGCGAGGGTTTGAAGGCGTTGATTGACGAGATGGCGCCGACCATGTCGAAGCACATGGACGAGCTGAATCCCAACGCCGCCATTCGGAGCGTTCTTCACGTTCTGTCCGAGGTATGAACAAGCACAGATGCATCGGGGTTCGACTTTGCATGATGTCCACTGCTAATCATGTACTCTTTTTAGGCAAACAAGTACATTTCCGCCGCGGAACCGTGGAAGCTGGCCAACTCGACGGATCCCGAGGTCCAGGCCGCGAAGCACGAGGTCATCTACTACGCGTCGGAGGCCGTCCGCTCCGCCGGCATTCTCCTGCAGCCGGTGATGCCGACCAAGATGGGTATGCTGCTGGACATGATGGGCGTCGATGCCGGTAAGCGCCGCTTCGAGGATGCGGTGTTTGGGAAGGATGTGACGTACGGCACGCCCGCGGTTGATCTGGGTCGTCCTGGGGAGTTTAACAGCCTGTTTCCTCCTCAGCCGGCAGAGAATTGAGTTGGGAGGATGTCTGGTCGGGAAGCTGTTTTGAGACAGGTGCTCCCTGGGTGTCCTGTGTAAATAAATGTACTATCTCCGCTGTTGGTGCCGGTTGTAAGATGATGTGTAGATATTGTGGAAATCATACCGAACGAAGCTCCTAGGGCCTGGGTCAGCTGGAGTGCGATTCAAGGGTTCTTTTTTGAAGGTGATTTAATTGCTTCAGGGTCCATTCGAGATTGCTCTGGCGTGTGAGGGAAAGTAGTGAGGTGGTTGAGAAGGCGTTCCTGATTCACCTTTAGATACGGCGCTACTTGAGGCGGCTGATGGCCGAGATTCTCAACGAACAGTCACTAGTCAAGGTGCCAGAGTGGTTAATGGGCTGCCCTGCTATCAAACCTTGATTCCAGATTAGGCAGTGGCTTCGGTCGCGCAGGTTCGAATCCTGTCCTTGACGCATTTGCGTTATCTTTTGTATTTTTCACTAATTCTTGCCTCTACTGAGTTGAGGATTGACTGGATTTCTTTTTTACTTTATCCAGAAATGCGGAATGGTTGTTGTTATTGCTCTGGTTGTGGGTGGCTGGCGTCTTTGGGCGAGAGCATCTGTAGTGGGGCCATGTTCTGAGCAACTCTCTCTCCTAAAGGAAGCTTTCGCAGCTACACCAGTTCCGTCGTACAAAAACATTCACTCCCACATTCATCGTCAACTGACCCTGCAAGTCTTGGGAAATTCTGAGACCAAGCCAAAAAGAAATTTCACCGTCAACGACAAGATTCGAACTTGCGCGACCGAAGCCACTGCCTCAACTGCTGGAACAGGACAAGTCCTGACGGATCCGTAGCAGGGCAGCCCATTAACCACTCTGGCACGTTGACTTTATTTGCAGCTGTGAACTGTGGACTCTCCAGGCCAGAACTCCATCCTTTGACCATCGTACACCTGTCTCAGCCGCAGGTTACCCCTAGGTCTGCGTTCCCCCCCTCTTTTTGGACGCCTGCAGGAGAGAAGAGGAGCTCGTTGTGGGCGAGACCGGCGGGGTGCGTTTTGGCTTTTGCGAAGTGGGCCTGTGAGAGGGAACAAGCAACTGTTGCTGCAGCTGCAGTTGTGAACTTGTGAGGGACGAAAAAAAGGGCGACTTATGCAGAGTGCACAATGAGGTTGAATGAGCATACAGGCATGTACCGCGTCCGTCACGCCATCTTTCTCTTCCTGAGAGACACGGAGTGATAGATGCCGCGATATGTTTTAGGATGACATGCGCTTACACGCAGAACAGCCATCGTGACGCCGAGGGTGACTCTCGTCCCCTACGAGGCCAGACATGTGGAGCGATATCATGAGTGGATGAGTGATCCGGTCAGCTCAACAGCCCGCAAACAAATGCCATTACGTTTGAGTCATCCAGTGATGATACAGACTTGTGGTGCAGAGGGCATGAGCAGAGGACTAACTGCCCGATTCCGATGATACAGGATATCCAGGAAGCCACGGCGTCAGAGCCGCTCACGTTGGAAGAGGAGTACGAGAATCAGCAGTCGTGGCGCACCTCTCACGACAAGCTCACTTTTATCATCTGCCAGCCTCTCGAGTCATCGACGGCGACCACGGAGGCCGCGCAGGCGGGTGAGGTCGATGCTTCGGAGCGGATGATTGGGGACATCAACTTCTTCATCTACCCCTACGACGACGACGATGACGACGAAGATGCAGAAGGTCAAGTTGCGGCAAACGAGGGCTCGTACGTCGGCGAGGTGGACGTCATGGTGGCCTCCAAGGAGCACCGCGGCAAGGGCATCGGTCACGCTGCCGTGAAGACGCTGTTGACGTACGTTCACCGGAACAAGGCGCGGATCCTCGAGGAGTATGTCCGGGGAGAGGGCAAGGGCAAGGGGGACAAGAAGGCGCCGGCGCAGCTGAAGGGCTTGATGGTGAAGATTAAGGAGGGCAATGCTGCGAGTATCGCGCTGTTTCGGCGGCTGGGGTTCGTGCAGAAGGGGGAGGTGAATTATTTTGGTGAGATTCAGATGGTTCTTGGGGACTTGGATGAGTTTGTGGCGTCTGATGCTGGTGTCAAGGCTGCGGATGAGTATCGTGAGGTCTCGTATTCTAGATAGATTTTTCGATGCCGAGGAATATAACCCAGCAGCTGTCTACAATCATGTGTGTCCAGTCTTATCCTGTTCTCATGTCTTCTAAAGTTCCGTCTCGAATCTTCCGGGCAGAGTCTATCCCCGGGGTATACCAAAGCTGGTCCCTCCTTTTATTTAGTTCAGGTTTCCTCCCCCTCCTGAAGGACGATTTCATGAAGCATCGCCGTATTTTGAACGGTATCCGTTCAACATCTCCATAGTGACGTTCGAGCCGCCGCACACAATAAGCACAATGTTCTGCCTCGCCCACTCCTCATCCGACATGCCCGCATCGAAATGCTTCCTGAGCGCGCCGTTGTAAGCCGTCGCAATCGTCGCACCACAAGCAACCTCAACCACCAGCTGCGCATCATCAACAAAGCGCACACACGCCAGCGCCGCCTCCGCATCAGTGACCGTCACGCTCCGGAACCCGGGCGTGTCCCTCGCCACCTCCCACGCCCTCGCCGCAACGCGCACCGCACCCAGGGACCCCGCAATGGACTTGATCCCCGGCAGCGTGACGTGCTCGCCGGCGAGCACGCTGGCGTTGAGGCTGTCCGCGCCGACGGTCTCCACGGCCATCAGCCGCGGCTCTTTACCGCTACCGCCTGGCCACTGGTTCTGCGAGACGCCCTGCGCGAGACCAGCTAGCAACCCGCCGCCGCCGACGGAACACACGATCCCGTTGACCTCGACCTCGTTCCCCGGCGACGACGATTCCGCCGCCAACTGCGAGACGAGCTCGTCGGCGATGGTCGCCGCGCCGTCCCAGACGTGCGGGTGATCAAACGGCGGGACGTACACGCCCGCGGGGTCGTTGCCGAGCATCACCTCGCGGAGGTGGGCGTCTGCCTCGGCCCAGTTGGCGCCGATCTGGCGGACGTCGGCGCCGAGGAGGCGCAGCTTGGAGATCATGAGCGGGGAGGTGGTCATGGGCACGACGATGGTGGCCTTGCGGTTCAGGGCGATGGCCGAGGTCGCGCAGGCGAGGCCGGCGTTGCCGCCTGAGGAGCAGTAGAAGTGGGATTCTTGCGAGGAGGGTGCGGAGGCGGCGGCGCGGACCATGAGGTTGCCTACGCCGCGGGACTTGAAGGAGCCTGAGGGTTGGAGGTTTTCAAGTTTGAGGTAGATGTTGCTGGGTGGTGTCAGTTACAGGACGGTAATCAAGCAGGCTCATGGGGCGACTTACCATCCTGCTGCGCGGGACAGGCTCGCTGATGCGATGCATGGTGTTTGGATCCATGGCTTCTTGGTGTCTGGGCTGAGGGAACCCATTGTGGCGGATTTGGCAGTGGTGGAAGGAAGGCTTGGTGATGGAGGCTTCTTCTGTGGTCTGCCTTTACGAACTGAATTAGAGTTAGCCGGTGGGATTTATTATAAGAACAGGTTGGCGAGGTCGGAGTAGTAAGTGGGTACATACATAAGTCCCCTTGTTGATGGGCCCTTTTGCTCTGAGAATTTGAGGTTCAGATCTGATGATGTTGGTGAGAATGGAATGTGAAGGATGAATGTCAAGGGTGAATGGTCCAAGAGACTCGTTTTTCGGAGACGAAGCGCTAATAGAGTGTTCTCTACGGAGTAAACCGGCGTTATATTCGTAAAAAGTCACGTTCGCAAAACGTTGATAATGCTCAGACTGGCATCAATCATGTATTGACTTCTCTGTTATAAGCCGACGATTTCCCTGAAGAAGCTTCTCGATACCTTTGCCAGGGCGCGCTGAGTGCAACTACAATTGTCAAGTTACTGCATTGAGTCAAGTAAAGGGCGCACCTGCGGATGCGGGTGCACGGGGCCGGAACAGGGGTCCGACGGCGACCGGTACCGGGAAGCCGAGCCGGGGCACTTCAGCATGCCCGACCTCCGGACATGTCGACAACAACAGAGCTGACGTCCGGCCGTCATCTTGTGTACTACTTAATCGTTGGTCTACAAGTAGAAGAGACCTAGTCGCAAAGTGTGTTCTAGGGAATAGTATTTTACAGCCGTCGTGAAGTAGTGTTAGCTGTACGTGAGGAGATGCGTTTGGAAGAGATGGGAGCATGGAGGGGACTGTTGGAGGCGTTGAAACTCCCCAACGTGAATCTGATGCAGATTGAATATCGGTCTATAGCCAGAGAAACAGACTTAGACCCTCTCATCATTGTCACAATTCAAGCTGGGTTCCTTGTCAATATGACTACTAGTGTGAGAGGGTGTACATCTGACGGGAATGATTATTCGTTTTTGTCCGGCCTCGCACCTGCCCGAACTCCATCCCACCTGCATGAATGAATACCTTACACAGGAACATGCCTTCATATACCCCCTCAAGCCCATTCCCGTCACCACAAACAGCAGGCGCCCGTCTAGGCCGACGGGTCAGGTCAAACTAGGATAGGTAGGGGAGTAGTTAAAGGTCAATATTCAACAATTATGCCCACAGCCTACTCGACGATAGGCTCCGAGTTCGAATCCTAGCATGAGCACCAAGAGATGTAGCCCCTAATCGCCACCGGGGGGGTGAACTCTTTTTTGTCCCTTTCCAGAATATCTACTCTTATAAAACTTGGCTACTAGGCTTTAAAGCACCGTCCCCTCTTCATTCTTTGGCAAGAACCCATCTCGTAAATTCAAACTTCCTCGGCTGGCGATAGTTTGCCAGTCTAAGACTGCCTCGGAAACCACTTTTGCCAAAATTATTCGCATTGATTTCATTGCACCCTAGAAAAGTACCCATGACACAGGCAGAGCTCTTTCCGGGCATTCTAAAAGGTATGCCTTCCCTCTGAATTCGATGATCCCTCTTTCCTTCCTCCCTGTGCCGTATAAGAGACGTCAAGTGCTTATTTCACGAGACTGTCTTCCAGCTCCATTTCACCACCAGCACCTTACTGGAATCCCACTTATTTCACCAAAATATAAATCCACCCAGCCAGTTTCGCTTTACTCATCACTGACTTCATCCCCAGGCAGCTAATTCAGCCGAGGTAGGTGGTAAGCAGATCGTCACTATCACCGCTGCCAAGGATCAGAGCAGAAGACAGCGCGTACTTCTCAAGACGGTTTCGCTCCCAACAACTTTCCTTTACGTTGCTACTTTGAGTGGCTTTGTTCTTCACGAAAACACAACTCCAAACTTAAATCTCCTTTCCCTCATCCATCACCACTTCAAAGGTAGCCATTCTCTCAAAGGCAGCAAGAGGCCTTATGATTGCTGCTTCTCATTCAAGTTGATCAGCTGACTTCTTCTTGCTCTTTATACTTTGAAGACAAACGAGGCTTGCCTCTCGGGCATTTCATCTACACCGATCTGAAGATCTCACCAAAGCACCATCTAAGAAGGTAAGCAAGCTTTGCCATTTGAGCTTGAGGGTTGTGAGCTCTTCCCCTTACTGACTACAATAGCTTCTACTGAGGGCTTTTCCAGCTTCAAGCCATTTGGCACAGAAACTTATAGAGACATACGCCCAACGACCTCAAGCACAAGTCCTCTTGCCGATTTCTGGGGTACCAAATTCAACTTCAGAAACAACCAGTCTGGGGCCTCATATCAGTTGCAACATGCCTCCGTCCAAGATCTCCAGCGTGGCCAAGAGTTCCCGTGTGGGCAAGAAGGCGGCCACCACTGGTGTACCTCGAAGCAAGTCAGCCGGGGCCGCATCTTTTAAAAAGAAACAGGGACGCGCCTCGGCTAAAAAGAAAGAGACTCTCAAGCCGGCTGAGGCTACAGTCGTCATCGCAGGCCATAAGAGAACCATTGCCGTTGTCGAAGAAGACAGCAATGATGATGACACAATTCAACCCATCAAACGACGCAGAGCGGGCGGTAACACCAACGCTTACGATTACCACGCTGTTCGCGAGAAGCCTCCGCCGCGTGATTACGGAGCAACCTTTGCGAGGAAGTCGACGGCCCGTTTCACTTGGGGCGCTCCTGACTTCCCTCCTCCTCCCCCCCAGTCTCAACTTGCTCGCAACAAGGACAAAGAGGTAGTTCGCCCCGGAAGCTGGCAGGCGAGAGCAAAGTCCAGCCGCTACAGCGGCATCTTATCAAGAACAGCTACCCCGGAGTCAGAGCCGGAGCCGGAGCCCGAGAGCCGCACTTGCCCCTTTCTTCGAATCCCCCTTGAGATCAGGGAGGATATCTACAAGTACATCTTGGTCGCCGACGAGCCCATTCGAGTCCGGCAGGGTTGGTCTGCAGTCTACCCCCGGAACAGACCAGGCATCCGCACCGACCTCCTCCTAACCTGCCGGCAGGTCAGAAGGGAGGCGCTCAACACCCTCTACGGCGAGAACACATTCCTCTACCTCCTCCGCGACGCCGCAGAACCCCCTGCGCTGAACGCGCAGGGCGAGAACGAAATCGTGGTCCAGCACCCGCTCGCCAACGACGCCCTCTCCGACTACGAGGCAGACAGCGCAGACGAGTACTCCGATGACGACGACCGCCTCCCCGCATCGTCTTCTTCCCTGGACAACAACTACACGGGAACCGAGATCGATGTCCGCCGCTTCGGTCACAAGTTCCGCAAGCTCATGATCGTCGCCGAGCCCAACCGCGCCGAGGCGTCGTACCGCCTCAGCATGGCCAACGCCATCGACGTCTTCCGTCTCCTGCGGCCCATCCGCCCGCGCATCCACACCCTCACCATCGACATCACGCCCCAGCGCGACCCGGGCACGGGTGACCTCTCCTTTCTCGACTTCTTCGAGCGGTCCTCCGAGGTCGTGCGCACGCTCCGCGGCCTGCCATGCCAGTTCATCGAGATTCTCGTCAACACGGGCGTTAGCAGCAGCGGTGTCGGCGGCGATGGCGAAGGTAACCAAGAAAAGCGAGGCCAAGAGAAGATCCGCCTCAACATGAAGTACGCGGCCAACATCCGGCGCGCCAAGCGCGGCGAGAAGGACCTGTGGCGGGACGACCGGGTCATGCAGTCGTACCGCAGCGCCAAGGCGGGCGAGGCGCAGAGGAAGCTCGAGTCGTTGCCGGCTGCGATTCGCAAGATTTGGGAGGGCTCGAATGGGCGGTTCAAGCGCCGGCGGGTGGACTTTGATGACGATGATGATTGTGATGACTATGGGGAGTTTTTTCTTTTTCAGGATGATGACTTTTGATGGCGTGGTTTTGCTGCGTCTAGGCATGGGCTTGCTTTGGGTTCTTGATTTTGGTTTGCGGTGCGTTTTTGCAGGGAGTTGCGTGAGAACTTTGATGCTGGGACAGGAGACGGCGGTGGCATTTGGTCTTCTTCGGATTCGCAGATGCATAGGGAGAATACTCCTGCAGCCCCTTTGAGCAGGCGATTGGCTCATAGAGCCTCTACAGCGTTTGATTTCTTCTTCTTTAGACCTTGGAACATTGGAAGCATTAATTCAGAATCTCCGCTCCATCACAGAGATACTTTTTTCATTTTTCTTCATAGCTCAGGGGGGGGGGGGGGTATATCAAATCATAAACCTTTTTGTATGCTCTCCTCCACAGCCATTCCTAGCACTCTCTCTCTCACTGTCCGTCATGATGCCGCTGCTGAAGCTGACGCCGCCGTGATCTTGACCTTTGAAACCTCCAACGTCTCCGTGTCCACCAACACCAGCTCCTTGGTCTCCGCAAAGGACGGCACAGTGATGAGCCGGACCTGCTGCCCGTCGCCGCCCTCAATAACCTTGGTAGAGAACTCGGGCTGGCAGCCGACGAAGAAGAGATGCGGCGCATTCTTCATGACGAACGGGTCGTCGTCTTGAAAGGGATAGGCCCCTAGAATGAGAGCAGTCAGTTGTCTGATTATCCACAAGGCAGTGAAAAGGGGTTTGTAAAAACTCACAAAGTGTATCCGGCGCCGTCGGCGCACTGCACCGCCACCTACACATGGCCTCCATCATACCGAGCCGGTCGTCGCTGTCGACGTACTTGAAGACGTCGTCGATGTTTTGGCCGCCCGTGCCGAGGACCCTCCAGCCGTCGACCTCGCCTTCCCAGGGGTTCGTCGTGGTATCGAGCCAGCCCGCTTCTTTGGCGTCCGGCGCGGCGCAGTAGGGCCGCGAGCGCGGGAACATTGCCGCATGGATCGGTTGCTGCGGGTAGCTTGCGTTGGCTGGGTCCTGGGTGCCTGGCATGAGGGTGACGGGGAGGGAGGGGAGGAGGTCGGCGAGGAAGTCGTCGAAGAGTTGGCTTGGGAGCGGGTTGTACGCGCTCGCATCGTAGCCGTATTTTTTGTTGGTAGTTGAGGCTTTGCTGCTGCCGTTGGTTGTGCTGGTGGTGTTGTTGTTTGTGGTTTCGGTTGCGGCGGCGGTGGTGTCGATTGAGTTTCCTGCGATGATGAGGCGGGAAATGGTGGTGAGTTCGGATTGGGTCGCTGGGGAGAGGGCCTCGCCGAGGAGGTATTCTTGGAGGAGGGAGAGTTCGAGGGCGTAGGAGGCGCCTGTGCCTGAGAAGGAGAGGCCCGAGACGATGGCGATCTTGGAGGAGGGGCGTTGTTGGGATGGTGTAGAGGTGGTGGTGCCGGACATGTCGTGATCTTCGGAGGGGTTGTCTGCGAGGGTCCAGCGGGTTGGTTGGGGCGCAATGTCTGGGAACTTTACGTCGAAGACTTCGAGCTCGCCGTTTGCGTTTTCGGAGCCCATTACGCCGATGATTGTGCCCGTGACGAGGTGGATGGACTTGAGGATGTCGCCGACGAGGCGGATGCGACCCGAGTCGTCTTCGAGCATGATTGTGTCCTCGTCTTCGTCCGAGAAGTAGCGGTCCGTGGAGATGGGAGCAGAGATCCAACGCTGTGATTCTTTGTTAATCCTCCACATCATGGGGTGTAGCTTGAAAAGGGGAGAGGAAAGAGGTCAGGGGACGTACATCCTTGGAAACGTCCTCCAAGATATTGGGCTTCAACGCCATGTCCATATAGACCGTCCCCGTCACCCAGCACAGCTCGCCCTGACGGACGTCGAGAACACGGTTCACATGACGGGCCTCCTCGCCGCCTATGACGGTGCCATCCCATGCCTCGGCTGCGACTGCGTCGACGGCGGGCCGGATGGAGGTGAGGCGCAGGAAGTAGACATCGGCATACTGCTGCTGGTACGAGCGGTCCTTGGGGAGGTCAAAGGTGTGAAGGGGTTTGTAGGTCGACGGGGCGCGGACGAGATTCGACGAGGATGCGGTAGCGTCGCTGTGGTTGTGAAAGAAGCTGGTCAGCTAACTTCTATACGGAGGGGGAGGGGCGGGTTGAACGTACGCTGGCTTTTGGAGAAGTCCGGTGGCTTCTTCGAGGGTCACCATTGCAGAAATGGTTTCTACTTTTCTTGGTACAGTTAGTTGTATGAGGGTTGATTTGGTGTTACTGAGCTGAATGAGGCTTTTGCGCGGTGTCAATTGACGTGGTGGTTGTCTGGAGCTGGGATGTGAATTGGATGCGCACGTGTGACGCGTCGGAGGACTTTGGGGGTGGTGAAAGTCGCGAATTTTGGCGTTAATTGTGGTTGGGTTGGGAGGGGCTCCGTGCTTGCAAGCTCCCTGTGGCTTGCTCCCCCGGGGAGCAGCCCCGCCCCGGTGCTTGGAGCGGCCCGGAGAGTCGGTTCAGGGGACTGTGCCCTCCGTCCAGTCAACCTGCGGATACCTGAAAGTCAATTGGATGGCGGGGTTCCCTTGCTCTCTGCTCCATGTGTGTGTGTCATCGACGCCCTCTGGAATGAGAATGAGGGGCACTTTTTTTTTTTCTCTCTCCCTCCCCCGCCATCCCGCCGGGCTGTAGTTAACTTGGTTGCTAATCTAATGCGCGGTAAAGTGTTAAGACACGCGGGTTTGGCAGCGCCCAGGCGGTTCTGGCCTTGGCACAGTCCCTCGGTCTCCGTCTTCCCGTAGTATCGCCGGGGGGTCAGGTCATGACGCCTCCAGTTTGTGGGCGGTGAGAATGATGAATCGCCTACTTTTTTGCCCTTGCGCTCAACCTCCCTCTCTTCCTCCCCGAATATCTTACGCCTCTTCACGACCAAACTCATACACTTTTCCTTCTTCTCCAGTTTCGTTGCTTTCTTTCACCCTTCCTGCCTAGGCTCTCACCCTCACCAACACAAAACCCTCACAATGGCTCAAAAATCGCCCACAATCGAGGTGACAAACCTCAGCTACAACTTCCAAGACTCGAGCTCCGGCCTCAAAAACATCTCCCTCTCCGTCCCCTCCCGCTCCCGCACCCTCCTCATCGGCGCCAACGGCGCAGGCAAAACCACCCTCCTCCGCCTCCTCGCCGGCAAGCGCCTCGCCCCGCAAGGCGGCATCTCCATCGCCGGCATCGACCCTTTCAAAGACGGCCTCGAGGGCGTCACCTACCTCGGCCTCGAATGGGTCCTCAACCCCATCGTCCGCACCGACATTGGCGTCCTCGAGCTCCTGAGGTCCGTCGGCGGCGACGCCTACCCGGACCGCCGCGACGAGCTCGTCAGCGTCCTCGACATCGACACCGCCTGGCGCATGCACGCCGTCTCGGACGGCGAGCGCCGCAGGGTCCAGCTCGCCATGGGCCTCATCCGGCCCTGGACCATTCTTCTGCTCGACGAGATCACCGTCGACCTCGACGTCCTCAGCCGCGCAGAGTTCCTGGCTTGGCTGCGCCGCGAGACGGACATTCGCGACTGCACCATTGTCTATGCGACGCACATCCTCGACAACCTCGCCGGCTGGCCCACCCACCTGGTCCACATGCACCTCGGCACCGTCCGCGAGTGGGACACGGCCGACAAGTTCATCGAGGGCCTCGACGGCTCCACGGGCAACAGCACCCTCGGCGAGCTGGTCCTCGGCTGGCTGCGCAAGGATCTCAAGGACCGCGGCCCGAGATCGCAGGCGAGGGTCGCGCCTGAGGGTAAGACGTATGCGACTGGCGGTGTCGGAGGCTACGGCGATGAGTCTGATAAGCTGAAATAAAGCTTTGTCTTTGTTGATGACGGTTTGACGAAGTTTTGGAGGAGCGGGTGTTGGTTGGTGATGGGGAGTGATTCAACAACTGTCTTTTGTTTTGGATATTTTCTGTCTGCATTTTTGCTAGAGAGAACGGCGTCTACGGCACTCAACTGCATTAGGGACGGCGTTTGTGCGTTTTTGGGGTTTCAACATTGTGATGCAGCGACCAGGGGGTCGTTTTCCGCATCGGTGTGTCTTTCAACTTAGACCACGGCATACAGAGAACGGGAAGGACCAGAGCATACGGTAAAAACGAGACGAGGGGTGGGGGGCCAAGAGGAGGCACTCTCAACCAGCCTTGCTCGACGGCGGCGTTTGGTCATGTAGCAGACCTCTTCAACAAGAGGAGGGGAGGGCACAACCCTGATGGGCTTGTTTTCTTTTAGGATTTCCACGGCTTTAGAGATACCCTATGTCTTCAACCAAAAAGGGGGGCGTGACGTTTGGGAGGAGGATCAGCTGTTGACTCAACTAGACAGATATGAGAAAGTCATGCAATAGAATGTCAGAAAGACATCTACTTTGAGGTAGCGCTACTCATCTCCGAATAGGGGGTATCATAAATGCATGCGTCCTGAGCCTGTTCCTGGCGCAATATCTGCCAGGCATGAGCCGAGTCGTGCTATGAAAAACATGATGTCTCTACGTAGCGCTCTTAGAGCTCATGAGGACCTTCATCGTGTTCTTCATCAGCGATGGTATACCGCCCAATCCCTTGCCCTCCAATGCTCGCAGCACAATGATCCTATACTCGGACCAAGTGATGCGCAAGCCCCTGGCATCTGCCAACCTCGCCAGACTGTTTGACGTCACCGGCCCCGCGTGTCGTGTAGAGATGGCATCCTCATTCGCAGCTAGCTCACGGTCCTCCAGCTCGCGGATACATTCAATGGCCTGCAAACTCAACAATGACGAATAGGAGAACCCAAACAGCGTCGGAAGGGTGAGGTCCATGCCCAGGTCTTCGACATATCTGCGCAGCCGCTGTGTGACGGGGGGCGCGCTGAGGCAACCGAGAGCGTTCTTATCGCCATCGTTGAAAGCCTTGCCGCGCCAGAGGCAATTGCAAATGTCCATAAGGTACCCGTTGAAATGGTTCACGTAGCTCGGGGCATACGTCGTCGGCTGCCGCCTGGACATGGCCATCTCGAAGCCCTTCTTGTATATGGCGAGGACGGTGCACAGACGCGATACGTTTGCTAGGGAGTGGCTGAAGAAGAGAAGGTAGATGAGCTGGGCCGGCGGATTGGCGATGCGAAGGAGAGGTTGAAGGGTAGCGTCAGAGATACTGGCGGCAGCCTGCTCATAGAGGTCGAGGACGCCGCCGTGGACAGCGGCGCTGGGTGAGGCTTGGACGACGTTGAGAGCGATGATGCTTGCGTGCTCCATGACTGCGAAAAAGGCACTGACAGAGGCATCCTTGGGTATTTGGTCGAGTGAGTTGAGAACAAAGGTCCAGCGGCGAAGGAGGTTTTGGTAGAGTTTAAGTAGCGCTAGCTGCGACTCGGCCGTTGGAGGAAGACACTTCTCCAGCGGCTTCAGAATCACATTGTACAGCTCTGCTACATAGTCAGCAAATGGACGAGACAAACGAGATGGGGCCGCTTGCCATCAAACGCCACGAGAGGCGCGTACTGGAGAATGCCGAGGATGGAATCCTGAGCATCAACGCCGTTCCATGTTGTGAATAATTTCGTCAAGAACTGCAAGACGACCGGCGGAGTTTCCTGTATTGTCAGCGAGGCTCCACTCGGGTGGTTTATCACACTTACTTTGACGCGAGCCACGTACTCCTCCAGCAATTCCATCGTTTCCGCAAACGACTTGTCATCGACATTACCGTTAAGCACGTCTTCAAGCACGGCATCAATCCAATGGACCACACGCTTTGACGCAGCGTCATCCTTTTTCAGGGCGACGAATTTCTGCAGAAGAGGGTCCGCTAACACAGCCGCGAGCTGATTAGGCAGCTCAATCTTCTCGACTGTCTGGGCAAGACGATCGGCGCTGTCAATCTCTTCCAGAGTGACGGAAGTCTTTCGTACTTGTCAGCCACGCACATCGTTGTCTGGCTGGCTCTTCGCGAAACACCTACCTCTGTGGCTTCCGAAGTATAGACAGGAGGGAGATTTGACGACTTGTTGCCGCGGGCCCGCAGAGCCTGATGGTTGACGCTGAAGCCGTTCTGGGGTTGACCGGCTGCTTCGGCAGTCCGTTGAGAATGGTCTCGTTGGATCTGATTCAGCCTTTCGCGCCATTCCACGTCGGGGTGCTATCAAATCAGTACGAGTAACTTCCGAATGTCGGAGCACTTCTCACCTTAAAGGCTGACGCTCTACCCCTCAGCGCATCGCTTACAATGATTTCAGGATAGTAGTCTTTGAAAACGCGGAGGAGCCCTGTCAATGCTGGATCATTTCCTGTCTGCCTGGAAAGGTTGAGGCTGAGATGTATAATTAGCGCCGAGAAGTATCTGCGAGTACAGAGGGACAACTCACACAGCTTGAATCCTAAAGGGCCGAACGTGTTTTCTGCGTGTGATCAAGGCGAGCAGATGGCAAAGTTGCGGTCTGGGGTCGTATTAGCCCCTTTTCCGTACGCATCAGAGGAAGAGTCCCTACCGAATGGCTGCCGTGTCGAGCAAGTTGAACAGAACGGCGTATGCTTGCGACAAAATGGCAGGTTTCTCAATGACATGGTACGCCATGATTAGCCATTTCAGAATATTCGACTGCAGGACCAGGGAAGGCTTCAGTTCCCCGTGGCCCAGGCATCCCACAACCCTCAGGACGACATCACTGGATAGCCGAGTAGCAGGGTAGAGGTTCTTCAGTATCGCGTTCAAGCTCGCCTGATCCAACAAGTTTGGCCTCGTGAGCAGATCGATGAGTTCGCTCAAGGGCCCGGGAAGAAGGCCATTTTCAAAGGCGTATGACGCGACCTTCTCAACGGTAGGCTTGATATTGGTGGCGCGCCTTTTCGCAGGCAGTTTGGAAGCTATATGGAGAACGTTCGGGTCAATTCACGAACTGCATGTGTTGCGAGGGGTTCAACTCACCCTCAACAACATCGCCAATCAGGAGGTCAACGTCAAGGTCCACGTCGATATTCATAGACGTATCGTTGGTGGTCGAAGCCATTCTACCTGGTAGTTCTGTTTCTTGAAATGGCGGCACGAAAAGAGTGCCGAATTTCCAATGGATGGACACAATGTAGCGACATTAGATGAGGCAGGCGGAGTCCAGCGTCGTCAAGGGTCAGCATGGGTGACAGGCCCGAGCTGTCATGAACGGTAAGTAAGTGACAGACGCGTCGCGGGGGGTCAGTATCAAGGTGAGCGCGTCCAGACCGGGAAAATGGCACCGTGCACACGGACCTTGTCACTTTTATGGGGTCTTTCTTCCCATTGGTTACATATGGCCGGTGTGGGTCCATTCTTCGGCGCCCAGCGTCCGGGGTCACTGGCCGGAGCAAGCTCCTTCCTCAGCAATTCGCTAAAACAGATGCAGGCCCAGAGCCGGAGGAGCAGCAGCATACGGCTGCTCCTACTCTAAAGTCTGTACGACAGGACAATGTGTTGGATTCGATGTGGGGGGGCTTTCGGTCAGCAGTGTCCGTAATGAGGGCGAATGCGCGCGAGACAGGGAGGCATCAGCATCAGCAAGCCTCGGTGAAGGGTTGGGCGAGGCCGGGCGAGGCCAGGCGAGCCCCTGTGTCATTGCACCGCTGTAGGTCCTGCGGGTAAATGACGAGCCTGCAGAGAAGGCATGCTATGACCTGAGAATCTGACCACGGTTGAATTTGCCTCGGGTTGATCGATGGATATCTGCTCCGGTACGGGGTTCCTTTGGCGATTTGGACCCCAAAGGTTTGTCTCGAGCGGTCTCGTCGTTGTGGGCGGGGAACAGCAAACGGACAAGCCTCAGCAGTTGCAAAAGATGCTCACCGGTCTGGGAGTATCCAATTGCTGGCCATTGACGTAGTGGCAAACCTTCCGGACCGTAAGCGGCGCACATGTCGTCTTGGCTGCCATGGCTGCCGCTCATTTGGTCTCTGGGATCCATAGCGGGGGAACTTCCGACTGATGTGAGATATGAGGTGCAGTCATCCAAGAATCGAGAGTTGCAGGCTTGCAGCAGGTCATGGAAAAAAGATGACGAGGACGATTCGGCTCGGGTTGCGAATGATCTCGTCTCTACCCGGCCTGCTCCTACCCAACTTTTACGTCGTAACTACGGGGTTCGGGTAGGAACTGTGGGAAAGAGGCAGGTACACATGCACGGCAATGACAAAAGGGAAGGAAGAGGGATATTCATCGTCTTATTTGGGGTTACACAAGGCAACTTGAAAGCATCATCTGCTGCAACTGCGGTCTGCAACTGGTTACTGGGAGTGAGGAGAGAGGAGAGAGGCACTGCCCCTAGTAAGGTGAGGTAGGAAGGTATCAAAGTGGACTTGCTTATACAGTAAGGTGCATGATGACCCTGTATGACAGGGTACCTCTACCTGCCTTTCCGTCTTTTGGAATGGAGACGAACGACTCTGTTCTTTTCATCAGGAAAAGTCTGAAGAGAAAGTGGGAGAATGCCATGAACATGTAAAAAAGTCTTGATAACTCAGGTATTCGAAACGGGTACGGATACGGTACGCAGAAACGTATCAATCGGTAAACACCCTGGACCGTTAGGTACCGTACGTATCCGTACCACGTACCCGTTCCAGAAACGCCCGTACTCACCGTTGTATACCGCCATCCTGACGCTCCGTCCCGCGAAGTTCCTGCGTAACCTCTGACCTCGCGCCTACGACCTTGGTTGCTTACCTTGCTTTCGCCGACGTCTCTCACCGTAACACCAACACTGCTTACCTTACTTTCGACAACTAGCTGCCTCTCAATGACAGGGTTGCTTCGAAACAACCTGCAACCTCCAACAGTCGCATCCTGCACAAATACTACTGGACCCAACATTGCCCTCATCTGGTCAAGCTCGCTGACCGAGGCGTCAGAAGCGCCTCATCCCTAACATAATCTAGTGCCATATTTTCCTGCTGTTCCACAAACCGGCTACGCAAATGCCTCGCAAGAATCCTTCTGTCCTCCGGGCCCCGTCACATCCTTCAGTGTTTCTTACAAACCTCCACCATGGTGCGCGAGGTCATTCTCGCCTCCACTTCTGACCGCATGTTTTGTACAAGACCACGGTGACCGAGCTGTCGATTCAGGTCTCATGACTCCTCGCTGCACTTTGGTTCGGTCACTGACATCGTTCCAGGTCCGCGTCAATACGGGGTACCGCGTACAGATTGCCCAGCAGAGACAGACTGGCGCCATGTCCGGGCCTTCCACAGTGCTTCCAAGTTGTCGTACTCCATCCATGTTCTCGCCTACGTCTCTCCCTTGTTTGACCAAATCATCCGAGCGACGACTCTGTTCGCCATGTGTCTTTCAGCTTTCTGGCTCTTTTGCTCACATATCATTATCAGTCGCGGCCCGATGTCTCCACAGCCGAGAGAGGACCGAATGAACCTGGGCATCGCCCCTGTTTGTGCCGCCTTTTGCTCGTCCCTTTTCGTCGGTAGGATTCTCCCGGTAAACCCTATTTTTCACACCCCGACAAGCACACAAACTCCCCCCAAAGCCGGCCCTGCCAGACCACGCAGTCTTCTATATTTCCTTGGACCTTCTACTTTCAGCGGGCCTGTCCAGGGCAGTTGTTGGTCGGGAGCTCCAAAACCATGGCTATGGATGGCAGGCGACGATAGCAAGCCGCAAGCGGGCTTCGACTAAGTAGCGGCGACTTCGCTCGGACGAATGATCGAGGCATGCCGCATACATCGATAGCTAACATTGTTCGATCTTGACTTCTCTCCTCGGCTGACTGGACCACCTCCTCCCACTGCCGTGGGGGCTTTGCGACCTTCTGTGACGGCGTAGTGCTGTGAAGTCCAATCTATCGCTGTCATGGGCTTGGCTCTGTGTCACCTTTCGGCCGTCATGTGTAGTAGCGTCTGCTTACCGCAGTGCCCATCTCACCTCACCTTACGGATACCTCGAGGTGGTCACTATACGCCGCGCGCCGCACGCCGCATGCCGGACGCCAATTTCGTCTGCAGCAACGTTGTGTAACCTTCTCTAATAACCCTCATGTTGCTAAGTAGCATTTGCAAGGCTCGGTTGGTGGTCAGCACATCGAGGTAAAAGATCCGTCCGTCAACGTTCCGTTATCCCCCTTCCATCCAAGAGCAACTTCATCCAGAGTAAGCTAAGGTGACGGACGTATTACCGCTCCGTACCGCGCCGGTTACATCGGATCCATCCGTCCATTCATCCTTCCCTCCCTCCCACCATTCCCTCATTCCATGGGTACACACACACACACACACACACACACACACACACACACACACACACACACACTCTGTTTCTCACACCTCTACAACCAACTCGTTTATTGCATCAGTCAGACGAATGTCCCCCAGACCAGAAACCACAGAGCCCTTGATTTGGTAGCCTGCTAATACAGAGACCCACCACCCACGGTGAGAAAGCGTGGAGGCCCCTCAACATTAACCGCTGGGCGTCTTCTCACCTCTTGTCCTACCTTGCTCTCACATACCCGTTGTTCTCAGCATTCAAGTTATGCATCCGCTGATGATGCCTCCATGCATATCCTCTTTCAAGATTTCCCCCTCCATGTTGCCCATCTGTCCCCATCTTTGTGTAAAATCCGGCTGACCAGCTGTGTTGTGTTGTCCGTTCGGCCTTGTTGTGCCCTCGGCCGGTCGCCTCTGCTGCACACCCCACTCTCTCTACTGCTGCCCTCACGCACTTCCTCCCACACCTATCAAGTTAAAGATCTCTGTTGAGTCTATCGCCCTCTTAGACTCGGCCCTGCTCCCAGCCCTTCGAGGTATGTGTAACCAGTCCTCACATTTGGAAATATGTGTCTTCTAACATTTAGTCTGGTTACTCCCTCAAGACTTGCTCGTTCAGATGCCAGGTGCCATCGAGTTGATTGACGCTTAGTCTGTTAAAGTTGAGAGCCAACAGCAAACAAAGTTTCGCGACAATATCGAATAATCGAGTATACATTTTTCAACTTTACCTGCCTTCGACATCGATTCTGGTTTCTTCTTCTGCTCAAGCAACGCAGAGAACACGCCGAACCGTTGCAACTTACGTCTTCCTCGCCTTGACGTGACCTAGTGCTTATCGTCTTACATCCGGTCCATCACTCTAGTCCTCTCTAGCCAACACTGTCACTTCAATCAGCTAGACGCTTTAACATCAGACGACTGCGCTTCTCGGTCGGCTCATCGACGATAACCGCAGCCGCCGTGCGCTGGTTCGCAACATCGTGGCAGAGTGGACCTGGTGACGGAACGAGCAGCAAGCGAACCGTCTCATGCCGTTCGTATGGAATTCCTCTTACACTGGCCTAGTGAGTCCAAAAGTCTTTGCTTCCTATCTGACGCTGAATCACCTTACACGGCGCTACTTTGTGTAACCTCGCGCTGACTTGAGATAGGGATGAGCTGAAGACAGCGCACTTGACTATCTCCGCCATGAGGTATTCTCCGGAAATGCAGATCGATCACCATGTCACGTCCAAGAAGAGCCCGAAGTCTACACAAACTAACCCTACCATGTTACTATGGGACCGACAAGACTGTATCCCCTTGGGGGAAAATCTATCGGAAGACGACATAATCGTTCTGCTCACGCCAGTTGTTGTTCCTCACAACAGATTCGCAGACAACGACAAGGATCCCTTCGAACCATTGGGCCGTGCCATTGCTTCGCGGCACTCATTGGTCCGCCATGTTCCATACACGAAAAGAGGTGGCATCACCAACGTCCACTACGAGTTCATCAAAAGGGCGAAAGTAATCGTCTTCGTTATATCTGGAGCCCATATAGACGATGATGTCTCTCAAATCGACTTGGCAGATGCTGCACGAACGATGGCAGACGAGCGGCCGCAGATTGTAGTAGCCTGCTGCAACCTCCAAGCCCAGAACCTTCACGTCGATCACTTTGCTACGCTTGTGCAAATCGCAGGCTATTCACCATCTGAGCTGGAATCCGCTGCTTCCATCATCTTTGACGACGTTCGTCCACTTACCATCAGCGCAGTTCGCGTACAAAACCTCATCATCGCCCCGAGAGCTTGGGATGTCGAAGTCTGCGGTATCGATATGACCCCTATCCATCAGTTGTGGACAGAATGCCTCCCACCCAAATTTCACCTCCCACAATACTTGCTTGTCCTGCTCCTGCAGAGAGATGGCTTCTCCAGGCACTACGTCGTACGCGAACCAGAAAACAAGCAGATTGTGGGCTTTTGCGCTACATTTACCACATATCCAGATGGGGGACAGGATAATCTGCTCGGCTCGCTAGCAGTATTGATCGTCAAGAACTCATATCGCGGAAGAGGAGTCGGATTAACACTCCACAACTATGCACTCAAGCAACTCCAGAGAACTCGGGGCGTCAACAGGCTGCAGCTAGGATCAGCCTTTCCACGCCTCTTCTACGGCGTGCCGTCTGAGTTTTTCTCGAGAGATTGGTTTTCACGCCGAGGGTGGAAGATGGATGGGTTTCAACCTGGCCAAGGACAGGAGGCCTCAGATTGGCTCCTCAGATTTGAAGATATGCCCGCAAAAAGCTTTTCGTCAGCTGGTCTGACTTTCAGGCGATGCGACATGATGGAGTACCACCAGGTTTTAGACATCGTCAGTCGGGATGCGGCTCGCAAAGATAATATGGGATGGCACGACCAATACTGCATCCTGGACGGCACACCTCATGTCGAGGATATCGTCCTCGGTCTGGAAGGTAATACTATCGTAGCTGTTGCTTTGACCTACATTCCCAATTCTGGGAGTCCAGCCGGCAACGACCTGCCGTGGGTGAGAACTATTGGCGCGGATGCTGGGGGCGTAACCTGCATTTGCATCATAGGTTTGTGGTCACGCTGAAGAACTCTAATGGCTTTCCCCGCTGACTACGATTCAGATGACCATCCCGAAATGGTGAATAGCCGGGACTCTGTGATGATCAGGTTGCTCGATACTTGTGTCAAGTTATTGGCCGAGCAGGGCATGCGGCAATTGTTCATCGACGGCATGAAGGGAGCGGATGACGGTTTCCAATCGCTGGGTAAGTGCGATGATTGAGCGAGAAGATATCCTTCTGACTTGGTCGAATAGGTTTTCGACAATGGGCGCGATATAAGGACGTCTGGCGAAAGGTCTAAGATACGTTTTCGACTTCCCAAGAGCCAGCAAACACTGTACCGAGATGCGGTACCTCGCACTTCATAAGTTCTGCAAGCGATGTCCAGAAGCCATTGAATTCCGTGGTGCGGTACAGCCGACCGGAGGACCTCGGATACCAAACGTTTCTTCCACATTCACTCATGGAACCTATCCAATGTCAACCCAAGTTGATAAAACACTGACAGCCCGTATTGGCTCGTATTGAAGAGGGCCCGGCTAGTCAAATCGGCACCAGCCACCAGCGCGTATTGAAATCGAGGACCGCTGCTCGAGATATTGCACATTAATGCCAGCAAGATTCCTAAATCCAGCAACGGTGTGACTTTGTTTCAATGCGACTTCAGAGAGATGACTTTGGGATAGTCAGCAAAACGCCCAATCGCCATTCTTGGCTTGCTGACCATGGCTGATACTGGCACATCATGAGCCCCCGTGGCACCTATCATGCCCATCCCTTGGGATGCAGATGCTTCTTTTTGGCTCAGACCAGCCAGCCATATACCACCCTCCCAAAACCCACCTTCCCCTCGCCACGTTTTATTCATCGTCACATTGAGATCAAAGACACGCGCGAAGCGCGATCTTCTTTCTCAAGCTTCGAAGGGCCTTCTCCATTGGCTAGATATGTATGAAGTTTTGACGGCATTGCTATGGCTCAAGAGCACAATGCACGTGAGATTGGTCAAGCACGTCGAACAGCTGATTGGTTCATCTTCACTCTTTGGGCCTGCTCCGACTGCCCCGATGAAGACGGACTGCCAAGCCCCAACAATATCTCTTGGCCATTTCTATGTCGACATAGGCACAGACATAATAGTCAGAAGGCATTCCGAACATGGAACAAACCACGCTGATAAGAGCTCATATCAACGACGCCGATCAAACGTCGTTTGGGCATCTTATGAAGAATAGCTTTGATCTTCACATCATCAACCGCAATGAGTAAGAGGCCATTGAGGCCCAACCGATTATCACGTAACATGTCGCTTGCAGTCGTGCCAGACACGTCCATCGGTAAGCTGCGCCATAGGATTATGGTGTTGGCATCGTCGATCACGCAGGCCGAATACCGGGGAATCTCGTTTTGAGTTAATTGACTCTCAAGCTCGAAGCCATCCTAACGAAGAAAGGATGTCACTCAATGGTCCGACATATGCCTACACACAGACCCTCCGGTTTCCATTACATGGCATGGCCCCTAGGGTATACAAAACTGAAGACTCCCCACGCTCCCTTGAGTCCCTTTGACTAAGGGCCCAAGGGGGAAGAGAAAATCGGTGGATTGTTGACCGGGAGCAGCCGAGCCAAACCGACAACTCCTTTAGTGTCCGGTATCCCGGTCATGTCAGCGGGGTTATCTCCGTTTCACGGCCCAACCAGTCCCCTCGAGTAATATGGCAACCAACCGACCACTCTGGTTCCCCAGATCCCTGGTCACAGGTACCGTCTTTTTTGGTGTCAGAAATGCACGTTGGATCACACCCAGAAATGGCTTAGTAAATTTGTCTTGTTAAGCAATGGCCCCCCCTCGCCTAAACTTGCCGGGCAAGGAGTTAGACATTACCAGTTTTTGCGCAGCCTGATATAGTATCCAGCGCAAGGCATGGTAAAAGAGTTGAATCAATACATGCCGTTTGCACAGCGAGCTGACCATGGTTTCACAAGGATGTGTATCCGTATCAACTCAACGAGCTTCAACGCCAGACAACGTACAATTTACGCCATCCCAATTGTCCGATATGAAGATGGACCGACCTGAGGCGTACATAACGGGGGCGGCAAATCGGCCCACTCCTGCCGGAACGCCTCCGTGAACCATACGGCTGACGAACCCAGATTTTGTTGGCGGGGAGGCTCAGAGCAGTGTAGCATAAGAGGCACACACTTGCTGACATGGCCGTAAGATAGGCCAGTTATTTGGGGGACGAATCCCTTGATTCCCTCTAGACCCCAAGCGGCACAGCCAAGGTCGGGAAAGCCCCATAAACCTCGGGCGTCGATGTGTGCCTTTTACTCTCACTCTCACCGCCGATCCAAGCACGTCTTTCGGTTTAATCATCAAGAAGCATACCTAGCTACGGCCCTATCAAGCGAATTAGTGTATGTATGAGTGTGCTTATGTGTGTGACGGACTTCTTTCTTCTTCGCGGTTGCCGGCGCACCAAGAAGGCTATCCTATCCCAGCCGGCACGACTGACGAAAAGCTGACGCGCAGGGCGCAAAGCCAGGGGGTGAGAGACTGTGATGACCTATGGTGAGAAAAGGAGGGGATGGGAGGGGAAATGGTGGGCAATGCCGCAGCCGCCTTTGAGTGACCGCCACGAACACACCACATGAAGTGTCGGCAACCCACTCGGATCATATGCTTGTGCGACCAAGACTTTACAGATTCGGGCGCTTGATGCGGCAAAGTGGGCACGAGGTTGTCAGCTCTTTTACTATCCGGAAAAGTAGACAGCTCCTTTAACACCGTCGATCGAGAGGCGCCGTGGCAGCCAGCAGCACATGAAGATGGCTTACGGAAGTAGACTCCGATGGCAAGACTGGGTGGGGGGCTCAGATTATTCTCCCCCATTGTGCCGCTATCAAACTACCAAAATGCCCGTCCCCCCGTCCCCCGATCCCAAAGACAAAGAAGAATCGGGATTGCCTGCCGTCCTTCATTGTCTTCTGGCAAGTGTTCCCCCGACTTCCGGCTCCCAAGAGATTAGGAGTCCCTAGCTACTGCGTCGCACCGTCACAGGACGTAATCGGGCGCTGGACAGAACATGTTTCCCTTGATGTTTAGATCCTCGAAGCGGCCGCCTTTCGGGACGCGAGTGTGACCGCCCTTGTCTACAGTTGCACTATCTTCTGGGACATGAGATCGATCTGTACCATCGCCTCGTGGGGTTGGATTACCTATACAAAGGAGCCCCACCGCCGCCGCCGTCGTCGGGATCCGAAGATGGTATCGGAGGATGCCGAAAAGCCCTTGCAGGATGCTGAGAGCTGAAAGGGGACGGTGATGTGACACAACGGCCATGGCTATGGTGCATATGGCATTGCCTGTTCTGGTTCATCGTGCTTTCTTCGTGGATACGACTGAGTCAGTGCGGGAGAGTAAGGTTGGCCAACAAGCCAGAGCGTGTGACTGACGGTTACTGGCCAAGAGGTCAGAATGCAAGGAGACCATCATCACTTGATAAGTCTGATGTGAAAGCCGAGAGAGAGAGAGAGAGAGAGAGAGAGTCCCCTCCTTCACAATGGTTCGAGTGATATTCACTTGCCAAGGGAGAAGATTGGACAAAAGATCAAACTGCAACCCTGTATACTAACTCGCCAAGATGTGTTATCTTTCTTATAAGTGATGTAAGCCGTGAGATTCTTTTCCTTGGCTTCGTGGTTCTTCAACAACCTGGCGCGCATGTTTGATGACCAACAAAGTCACGGCTATGCCACGCCAATTTCATTCCACGAGCTCCAAAACTAAACCGCGGAGAATCCTCTGTTTCGCAAACTACATAGCTCACTACGTATCCTTCAGCCGCCGAGAACAGCGATGTACTAGTATACGACCACATGTCTGAAAATGCTTAAATGTATTAAACTCGATTCCTCGAAGTGTCTGTCAATGAAGAGGTCTTCATGATAGGTTGAGTACGGCTTGGTGTAACGGTAGGACGTTGAAACTGTTCTTTATCGTGAGTTGAATCCGGCGAGCAGAGCCTGGGAGCGAGTAAAGGCGTCTAGTGCGCTGCATTTGCTTTTGAAAACAACCCATTTCTTATCTATCGATTCTATGGATAGAATCTCATAGAGAAGGGGGTAGAAAAAGCCGCTCTGTCAAAGAAGAAACCTTGTCCTACCATTGAGAAATCTAGAGCGGTCGAAGGGGGATTAGTGAGCCAATGAGCGTCGTGACGGATGAAATGGTGCTGGGCGTTGGGGGCGGGGGGGTGCGGGATCGCAACGTCGATTTATACAATTTTGACTTTCTTGGGACACGGATGGACCACGGGCCTAGAACGTGGTCTCTGTATCCTGGACCCGATATCGTGGGATTGAAAGGAGGGGTAAGAGGGAAAGTCTACGAGGTATCTTGTACATGATCGTGGGAATTTTGTGGCGTTTAGCTTTGAAGTTTGTGGGCGTTTTTTGGAGTTTGTGAGCATTCTTGGCTTTCGTCTTGGCTTTCGTCTTGGCTGTCTGTATAGTTGATCCTATAACGATTAACACCTTCGTGGTTCCTGCGGGCATTGCTTTTTTTTGATATAGCCTGGGTCTGAGATTGGGAAGCTGTATAGCAACCCCTCTTGGTCGTCGGTCCCTGTCGCTTGATTAGCATACCCCCGGTCAAAGGAGTTGGCCGATTTCCCCTGGATTGATTGACATGTCTCTTTGAGGACGGAGCGTTTACTCGTACACTTTGACCATGTGCTTGCAAAGTCTAGGGCGGTATAATCTTGTAGGAAGAGCGATCCGGGCAGGCTTGACTATGCTGATTGCGGTCCGTCCGAGATTCTGCTACTTCTACTACTACTACTACTACTACTACTACTACTACTACTACTACTACTACTACTACTACTACTACTACTACTACTACTACTACTACTACTACTGCAGTTGCGACTGCTTTCAAGTGATACTACAAGCCTCAACACACGTGTGAATAAGGCCCGACGTTCCAGTTGTATGGTTCGGACGATGTCAGTGATTTCAGCTTACTTACAGAGTCAATTGTGCCGGGGCCTAAATGGTGGGTGTTCTGAGCCAAGCTGTCGCGAAGTCTTCTCAGCGGGTTTGGAGAAAGTCTAGCAGAGAGCGTCACTAGAAATGAAAGGGATTGTTTCGAATCGCAAGTCCCAGTCGACGGATGTACAAGAAGGCATGGCTACATCGAAAAGGGTAATCGGGTTCAGTTTGCGATGTTCCGATGAAGTGCGACCAAAGCTGCTGTTGCATTGGATCGAGAGAGTAAACGAGAGAGCGACAG